GATACGAATTTTTTTTTTTCTTGTAGGTAAGGAAAGGAAGAGAAAACAGGAAACATTGGAAAGATAAATGGGGTCTTTCCCGTGAAGGTGAGCTTCATTATTTTTCTGTTGAACTTAGTGATTAGATTAGATTAATTAGTTAGATTAATTTAGTGATTAATAACAACTGAAGATTGGTGAGAATGGGTAGGGTTCCTATTACTACCTAAATATTTGTATTTAAATTTTTCTCTGCATCATGTATACTATTTGAAAATAATGTTTCTGTAGAGGACAACAACAATAAAATACTTCGGGTGTGAAAAAATAAATTAAAAAAAAAATAAACCAATCTAAATCTTAGAGGCTTAAAACAACCCTTTATTTAAAAACAAAACAAAACAAAAGAAGTTGAGTTCATAGAAACAGAGTAGAAAGTGATGGCCTGGGGCTAGGGCGCAGGGGAAATAGGGAGAGGTTGCTACCTCTCCCAACTTTCAAGGGTACAGACTTGTAGTTGTAAGATGAAGGTTTGAGAATCTCATGTATAACATGGTGATTCTGGTTGATAATACCATGTTATATAATTGAAACTTGCTAGGAAAGTGGAACTTAAATGTTCTCACCAAGAAAACCCAACAGGAGAATACATAGGTAATGGATGGATGGGGGGAAATCCTTTCACAATGTCTAGGCAGATGCAATCATCACATGGTACACTTATAAATAGCTTACAGTTTTGTCGGTTGCATTTGGAGAATGAAAAGAAAGGAGAAAACCCAGAGATTTGTCAAGTTTCTCTTTTGAACCGTGGGATGAATGAAGTACCATTCACGGAGAAGATTGGGGGAAGAACAGATTTTTATTTTGGGGAGAGGCAAGGAAGAAAATATAAAATTCCATTTGAACATGTTTAAGTATGTTATGCTCACTCAGTAATTTGTTATTAAACTAGATAGTGTAAGGTTTACTCAAACTATGCAAGAATAAGCCAGGTTATAACAAAATGCCACACCATCTGGGAAATTAGAATAGACGATTAGTATTTAAAGTATGAGTTCATCAGGCAAGTTAGTGTGTCTGTTAGGATAATAGCTATAATTTATTGAGGGGTTTTTATTTGTTTGAACCATATGTAATTGTGGATATTGACAATGCCATACGGTTTGTCCCAGTACGTAGTAGCCATAGAATTATTGTTTATATATATATGAATGACTATTAACAAAAACCCTTAAGGTAGACTTTTTCTTACAAGTGGAAGTTGTGGAAGAGGTTAAATAACCTGCTAAAAGTCTGATGAGGAATTAGGCAGGAAGGAATCCAAACAAGGTCTTTCTGACATCGAATCTGGACTCTAAGCCAAAGTTACATTACTGAGATTTCTAGCCAAGAAGTTGTGCTACCTTGCAAATGAGAAAAGCTTCAGACCCCAGATACACAGATAGGCAGATACAGGAGTGCTTGGTCTGACTGGATGGAGAATTTCTGACTGTCTCCCTCCTACAGAGACCCAAGTTCAATTAGACCTTACAAGCCGGCATTGCATTTTAGAAGTAAACACAATGAACAAAAAGAAATCAGATAGCACTATTAAAAGTTGCTCAGAAATTTCCATCAGGGGCGCCTGGGTGGCTCAGTCAGCTGAGTGTCCACCTCTTGATTTCGGCTCAGGTCATTATCTCAGGGTTGTGATTTCGGCTTCAGTGATTATTTCAGGGTTGTGAGATAGAGCCCCGAGTTGGGCTGTGCGCTCAGCAGGGAGTCTGCTTGAGATTCTCTCTCCTTCTGCCCCTCCCCCTCTTCGTGCTGTTTAAGTCAAAGGCTAAAAAAAGTTTACATGATGAAAACGCTTTCTGTCTACCCTTGGAAGAATATTTTCCACACAGCTCTGGCATTGATAATATCAGTTAGGTCCAATAGTCCTTCACGGCGGTAAGCAATAGAAATGGTCACTTGGCAATTAAGTCACACTCCTGCTAACAGAAAATTGAATTTTTAAATTTAATAACCAAATGAATCTGTTCTTCAATGCTATATTGATCACGGGCTCTCTGAGTATAGTAGCTAGTCCCCCAATTGGTCCAAAAAAAATAAAGCCAGTACATTTATTTATTTAGTTAGTTAGTTAGTTTTAAAGGCCAGTACTTATTAATCTGTAAGTTCTTAGCCAGCTTTGATATTATTTTAATAGTAATAATAATGGTAATAATAATAATAAATACCATGTACTGGATCCTTACTACATGCCACATACCATGCTATGTGTATTAATACCATCTTTGCATAAAAGCTCCTAAGAACCTCATGGGATAGGTTGTACTATCTTTGTTTTGACTGAAGCATAGAGATATTAAGTAATTTCCCAATGTCCAAAACTAGTGCAGAGCTGAGATTTAAACTCAGCCATTTAGGGGCACTCTGTTGGTTAGGTGGCTGCGTTTGGCTCAGGTCATGATCTCGGTCATGGGATCGAGTCCTGGTTCGGGCTCCCCGCTCAGTGGGGAGTTTCTTTCTCCTTCTCCCTCTGCCACTCCCTCTGCTTGTGTGCCTGCTCTCTCTCTCTAATAAATAAATAAAATCTTAAAAAAAAAATAAACTCAACCATTTAAACTGGATTTCAACTCATTTAAACTCAAAACCCATGCTCTTACCCCCTATTTTGGATATGTGTGTACACATACATGCACATATATGTGATTATATAAAATGGTAGAGCTGATTACCTTGAGTTTACTTTTAGTGCGGGTGGCAAATGGCAATGCTTATGTATTATAAAAGTGGTCAAAGAGTCCAGAATCTTGGGCGCCTGGGTGGCTCAGTTGGTTAAGCAACTGCCTTTGGCTCAGGTCATGATCCTGGAGTCCCGGGATCGAGTCCCGCATCGGGCTCCCTGCTCAGCAGGGAGTCTGCTTCTCCCTCTGACCCTCCCCCCTCTCATGTACTCTCTCTCTCTCTCATTCTCATTCTCTCAAAATAAATAATAAATAAATCTTTAAAAAAAAAAAAGAGTCCAGAATCTTCAGCCCAGCCTGAAAACTAGCTATGTGCGCTTGCTTTTTTGATGATCCTTTGTATTTGTGGAAAGTTACATATGTGATTTTCATATTCAAAATTTTTCTACAATTAGATTTCCTAAAAGTAATTACTTTGTAGCGGAAGTCAATATTTAGTCAATCAAATGTGTTCTGATCACTAAGAAAGATGGATTATTTAGTGATTTTCTTGGCTTTGGCAACAATGCAAAAAACAGTAGGAAAGAACTGTAGCAGGATAACCCTTTAAAGTGTTGATTTTGGGGCCCCCCTCCCACACTGTGCAAACAAATAGACAAATGCTGTAAGAAAATCAAGTTGACAAATATTCAACCATTAGCTTTCAAGAATGCCACTCAGGTAGCCCTACATGGAAAGATGCAGATGCCTTCTGACAGAGCTTTTGCTCCCACAGCTTTGATAAAGTATGCTCTCAGAGAAAAGAGAACAGTGGGAGAGGAGAGGCATCAAGCACCTCAGGCACGTGGGAGGGAAGCCCAAACCCTCTCTGTAGTCGGTGCTGCTCCTGGCCCAGAGCCAGGGCACCGTTTAGAAGCTGAGGCAGAGCTGAGTTTATCCTCTTTTGTCATTTGGTGGGTTCCACCATTCGCCAGTGCTCAGCCCACTGTCCTTCATTAGTCCAGTTTGAAGTCTTGTTGCCTTTGTCCCAAGGATCTTTTCATATGCTTCTCATTGACCATCTCCTGGGAGCAGTCCCTCATCTAACAGTCCAGAACACTCATAAACGCCATTCTACTCCCCCCATCACTGCCCCCAGAGTGGAAACTAGAGGACTTGTAGTCCTTGATGGGTGATAGTGGAGGGGGCTTGGACGCTTTGTGGGGTGATGTTGATGACAGCTGAAAGGGAAATGTTTGGTCCAAAGAAAGCAGGATTATTTGGAATCCATGTGAAATCATCTACTGAGCCGGGAGAGCAGAGGAATGCACTACCCCATCACAGAGCATTAAGAAGTGGGAATGTTAGAGCTGGACAAGAGCTTGCAGAACATCTCGTCCCATGCCTCCACATAGCAGAATAGACTATTTGTTGGAGGTCAAATAGCTGGTTAACGGCTCAGCCGCAACCAGTAATCAGATGTCATGAGTAAGTTTAATCCTCTCTCCAGTGCACAGCATGGGCACATCTGGTTCGGGAGCTTTCTTTGGGGTTTTCTCTGATCCTCTTTCAAGGCATGGTAAGTCAAATAGAGGACCCACTTTCTAAGTTCTTAGAAGCCCAAATTCAATATCTCACAGTGACACCAAAGTGAAGTTTTCGTTGGATTAGTTTATTGCCATAAGATATAGTGAAGACATTTTTTTCAGTGGTTGGGAGAATCATAACTGCTTATAGACGATTTCTCCTCCACAGAGACTCTCTCAGACTGCTTGCCCTAGCCCACAGGTGCCTGAAACTGAGCACGAGAATGCATTTAATTGTGTTGAAGAAAGTCCAAGCTTCTCTCCCCACGATAAATGAGGACCTGACCTTCCGTATAGCCCTGCCTCTGTTCTTCTGTTCATTCTGTCATGAATACTTATTTCACTAGAATTTTTACAGGTAGAGAAGGAGGGTGTCTAGCTATTACTCAGCATTTCTCTAATGATCACTTTGTAAACCACAGTTTATCTTTGGACATTTCAGTGGCTTTATACCGCTCACCGTTATTACACCAACAAAACTCATCAGGTTGCACTTTCTACATTTGCTCTCTGTGGGCTTCTGTAATCTTTGTAGTATTTTATTTTTGGAAACTTTTTTAGAGAAACGCTTGTTTTTAGCACCACTTTGCATATGTCAGTGTATTTAAACCGTTTCTTTTTTGTGGCAGATAAAAAACTCTAAGGACTTCTCTTACAGGTATTGTTAGAACATTCAAATAAAATCTGTTTATAAGACACAGGGATAGCCAGATATTAAACAAATCAAACAAGTTTTCTCATAAATATTAGGTTGACTCCTGGTTAATATTTTAGACTCTTGTTAATATTTCACACATTGTTTCTGTTCAACTAACTTGGGAACTTCACGAAAAAGTTGAATGGTAGGTTGGGTAGGAGGGTACTGCAATGGGAGCCTTTTTTCCAAGGCTGGCATGTGAATAAAGTACCTGTAAATCATAAAAAGAAACAAATTATCTTTAAAAATAAGAATTTCACATTGGTCGCATCAGTACGTATACACTCACTGGTGTAGGGCTGTTGGGTATGGGGGTCTAAGCCATAACATTCGGCCAGCATTTTCAGTCATCTGATCTCCCCTGTTGGGTGACCTAGAAGATCTCTGACGTGTGCCTTTCAGCTCATTGAGACACTTTACTACAGCAAAGGAAGTGAATTTCATTAATAATGTATCCATTATGAAGGCATTAGTAGGGAAGTCAGGATTGTCCTCACCGCAGTGTGGGCTGAGGCTCCTGCTTGTTGTTTCCTTGGGCAGTACACAGGAAATTGAAATAAAACGGTTGGGGCGCCTTGGTGGCTCAGTCATTAAGCGTCTGCCTTTGGCTCAGGTCATGATCCCAGGGTCCTGGGATCGAGCCCCACGTCAGTCTCCCTGCTTGGCGGGAAGCCTGCTTCTCCCTCTCCCACTCCCCCTGCTTGTGTTCCCTCTCTCGCTGTGTCTCTCTCTGTCAAATAAATAAATAAAATCTTTAAAAAAAATTGCATTGTGTGATACATGCCACAACATGGATGCACCTTGAAGACGTGATGCTAAGTGAAAGAAGCCAGACACAGTAGGCCATATATCATGATTCCATTTATGTGAAATGTCCAGAATATGCAAATCCACAAAGAGAGAAAGTGGATTAGTAGTTGCCAGGGGCTGCGGGGGAGGGGAGCATGGCCTGTGATTGCTTAATGGGTACCAGCTTTCTTTAGGGGTGATGAAAATGTTCTGCTATTAGACAGTGGTGATGGTTGCACAACATTATGAAATGTATTAAAAGCACAGTTGTTTAAAATAGTTTCAATGTATATGCATTTTACCTTAAAAAAAAAAAAAACCACGAGGAAAAAAATTAGGTTGTGTGGACCAATTCCCAGCAGGCCAAACAAAACCCTTTTATAGGAGCCAGAGTGGAACCTATGATGTAAAACCACATGGAGGAAAAACGGGGTCCACAAATTGGGCTGAAATGTTTTAAAAAGCCAATCTAGGGCCATAATGTATGCCTCCACATCCTTTTATGTCTGCACCCAAACTGGGAGCAAAGCTATGCCTGCTGCACCCTTTTCATCGTAAGTCAGACGCAGGCTGGGTTTTTCCTTGATAGGCGCTAATGCAGAGCTGAGCGGCTGCCAGCCTGTAAATAGAAGGAGGAACCCCTGAGGTGCAGAACAAGCTGGCTGATGAACCCGTGCTTATTACTGCTCTTCCTTACTGTTTTGTTCCTGAGGAAGAGAGGGGAAAGGAAACAAACAAAAAATAATAACCACACTCGTTAACTGTTTCTCCTTTATCAATTGTTTTTTACCCCCCAATGCTTCAGTTAAATTCACAGTCCCTAATTCATCATACCCTTCAGTAGGGTTTGTTACTCTTGATTCCTCACAGCATGTTAAAATCATTACTACTTCTGTGAGGTGCTGGCTGCGACAAAGACAATGAGTGAGAAACAGTTCTTCAAAGAGAGTTTGAGGTTTCATTAGTCTTTTCTAGCCTGGGAATACACAGTGGTTCTTAGGGCTCCCCTAAACCCTACCTTACCACAAATCCAAGTGTGAGATACTATTAAAAACAAAACCAGAATTGCCCATCTTCATTTCATCTTCTACATATTGGGCCATGTTGCAGTTCTGCCTGAAAATCAGAAATGAGTGGATTTTACTGCAGATTAGATTCAGACTTTTCTTACCTGAATTCTTCTCTGTAGTCATTCCTAATATACTCAGCTAAAGTCTTGCTGTACTGCAGGTAGGTCTTGAGGATTTAAAATTGCTGATACAACAGAACTGCTTAGCTGGGACTTAGCAACTGAAATGAAGCTGAAAGCCCCTTTACCATTTGTTTCACAATACTGGCCACGAAAGTGATCTAAACAAGAAAAATGCAGTTGCATGTAGGCCGCAGGCCACCCATAAGGCACCAGTTTCAGCTGGGGCCTCACCTCTAAAGCTAGGCTGAAGTTCTCACCACCCCTATACCAATATTCTTGTGCTGTTTCTCACTGAAATGGTACTCAGAGAGCACCAGACCATAGACCAATTGGATTTACCATTTGCCCCCCTCTAAGCAGAATCAGAATGAATACTGTCAAGGAAATTTGGTTCCAATGTAAAAGGAGAACATTGGATAGAAGGGGAGCTTGAAAGGTCCATGGCCTCCTCCAGGACGGAAGATGGTGTCTCTTCTCTTGTACTGTGAAGGACAAATGGCCCACAGAGATAAACTTCCTGGGACTTTCAAAGAGGGTTCCTCCAAGGCACTGGTTCTCAAAATTTAGCGTGCATAAAAATCACCTAGGCAGCTCAATACACATGCGTAATCCTGAGCCCCACCTCAAGATATTTACCATAAACAATTCTGATGGCTTTGTTCCTCAGACAACACCTTAAGAAACACTAAGTGAGAAAGCAAAGAAAACCAGGTTTGACACAAGCAAGTGATGTTGATGTCCCTGGTAGCTGGGGTTTTCATCGAGAGTATGTCTGCTATCATTTCTGAGGGGGAAATTAAAATGGAAATAGTAGCAATAATGTGAAGTTATTGAGTTGCTGCTTCTCACACACACAAAAAGTCATTTACAACAGAACCAAGGGGCATCAGGCTGGTTCCGTTGGTAGAGCATGCGACTCTTAATCTTGGGGTCGTGAGTTCAAGCCCCCACACTGAGTGTAAAAAAACAGAACCAAATAACAAAAACCAAGAACAATGGATTCCACAAGTTTTTATTTGTTTGTTTGTTTTTGAGAGGGGCACATTTTCAAACAACTATGCATAAGTGTAGGCTACTATAAAAACAGAAAGGAACTCTAGTGTCCTTTCAAGCTCTAACCAGGTCCCTTTGCATGCCCATTAAATTAGTATCAATAAATGTGTTGCCATTTCTATTGATGTTGCTACTGGCCCTTCTTAAGTAGGGCAGGTGGTTTGGAGTGGTTTCACCCCAATTCAGATCTGTTTACGCGTATTGACTAAATACGGTGTCAGGCAAACCCAGATTGAGGTTGGAGAGTCTGGAGTGGTAGAACAAAGCAATGACCATTTGGGGATTAAATTTTTAACTTCTTTTGCATCTTGCTGTAACCAAGCAAGAGAATCAGAGCTGACTGACATGCAGGTAGATTCAATGGTCACAACAGTTTTCTTGCTTGCACATTTCTCTCAAATGGCCTGTTTCTACCCATACTCTTTAGAACGGAGTTAATATTGAAGTTGCAACAGTTTTAGTTGTCCTTTTGTCACCTTTCCTCCTGGCATACATTATGGTCACAGACTAGCTTCATACTCAATTCCTTTGGTGAACCAACCCTAGAGGTTGATAAAGAAACTTCCCTGTGGCTTGGAGTCTTTACTACCCGCAGACTTCACACATAAGTTCAGATGTGTGATTATAGGGTCTGCAACCACTGCACAGAAAAAGTAAGGGTCTTGCATCTTGCACATAAGAGCTTCTGTTGCCATGAATGACTAGAACTTTATGATACTCCTTGAAGGGAGCCAGTGACTAGTTAGCGTCTCTGTGCTGCTAAAGGAGCCAAGTCCATGGGCTCAGTCTCTGTATAAGGCAGCTGGATGTAATACTGACAAGTGTACTCTCTGGCCCTAACCAGATTTTTGTAAACATATGTCACAGGGATCTGGCAAGAAAATCTACATTCCCAAGGACATATTCAGCATAACTATAGAAAATAGCCCAAAGTAGGGAACCGCTGATGACCAATAGAGGCATGTTTGTATATGAAAAGAGAACATACTATGTCATGTCAAATCCTCCATTAGCAATGAAAATTTAGTTTGGTTTACTACTTTTTGAAGAGATCTCCAATCAAATGTATGATTAAATGTATGAATATATGAATGAATAAAGGAAAATTACGTTTGGGGAAATGAGAAGAGATTAAGGGATGAAACTGTCATAGAATTAATTCAGCAGATATTTTATTGAATATCCGTTATGTGCCTACCACAACAGACATAGCTCCCACCCTCATGGCACTTGGAGTCTGTTGGGGGAGAATGACATTGTGTCAGTCTTGACAGACTAGGTTGTACTGTGGTAACAAATTTCATAAAATATTGTAACAAATTTCACAACAAAGGTTTACCACTTGCTCACACTGTATGTCCCTTATGGGTTGGCGGGGGAGGGGGGGTTCTGTTCATTGTAGTCACTGAGAACTGTATGGAATGCTGCCAGTCACCATGCCAGAAGGAAAAGATAATGCAGAGAAGCATGCACTTGCTCTTAAACCTTCTGGCAAGAAGTGACACAGGCTACTTATGCTCACATTCCACTGGTGAAAGCAATTAACAGAGACCTACCTAATTACAAGTGGGGAGGGAGGTACAATCCTACCATGTGCCTGGAAGGAGAGAGAGGCAGAATGTATGTGGGCATTAAGGGCTACCATAGGGAAGAACCAAATAGTAACACCAACAAATGCCCACTGCCAACAGTAACAAGTCCTATGAAGGGAAGGAAGAAGACACCAAGCTCTGACTATGTGTGCCAATAATGGGGGATCTGATCTAGTCAGAGGTGAGAAAATCATCCCTCCACCCTGTCCCAGGAAGGGGCACTGAGGCCTGAAGGATCAGTGGAACAAGGAGGGAAAAGCATTTCAGACAGGCAGAAGGACCAGTGAAGGTCCTGTGATGGAGTTGGGGGTGTTGGAGGTTGGCAGTGATTAAGAGGCCCACGTAGGGAGAGTGAGGGACTAGATGAGCTTTATGAGAGATTTAAAGCAAGGCATGACATAATCAGATTTTTTTTTTTTTTAATAGATGCCTTTGACTAGTTGGTGGGAAGATAGGGACAGACCATGTAGATGTGATTGTAATGTCAAGGACAGAGACAGTGGTACTATGGACTAAGATGGCGGTAGCCAGGACAGAGTACCCCAGTGAACCCAAGTGTTAATTCATACTCACCAACTCATACTTGTTGTTTAAGATAAATGTTCAGGGGGCACCTGGGTGGCTCAGTCGGTTAAGGAGCCTGCTCTTGATTTCAGCTTAGGTCATGATCTCAGGATCCTGGGATCCAGCCCTGCATTGTCAGGCTCCCTGCTCAGTGGGAAGTCTGCTTAAGGAATCTCTTCCTCTCCTCTGCCCCTCCCTCCTGCTCACTCTCGCTTGCTCTCTTTCTCAAATGAATAAATAAATCTTTTTTTAAAAAAGACATGTTACTATTTTCACTTACTTATACAGCCAATATTTTAATATATTCTGTTTCCTATAGAATATATTTTAGGGTTTTTCCTGAAATGAAGATCACATTTAAGAGACCATTTCAGGGGCGCCTGGGTGGCTCAGTTGGTTAAGCATCTGACTTTTGATATTGGCTCAGGTCATGATCTCAGGGACATGAGACTGAGCCCTGGATCAGGCTCTGTGCTGAGTGTAGAGCCTGCTTAAGAGTCTCTCTCCCTCTGTCTCTGCCCCTCCCTGTTTATGCTCTCTCTCTCTCTCAAAAAAAAAAACAACAAAAACTTTTTTTTTTTTAAAAAGGATATCATTTCAGAACCTTAAGCACTCAGGCCCCAAATATAAAAATGCTTTATTTTAATTAAATAATAAAATCATCAGATTTACATTTTGCTTCTGTTTTATAAATGACTACTTATAGAGAAAATTTATATTTTATTAATTAAGCACAAGAGCACCTGTTTAATTAGCTGTGAGTGGTGGTCTTGTTTTTGCTTCTTGGTACTTACTATGGGAGGACGACTTTGTCGGAAGGACATCATCCAGCTAATAGCAAACTTTGCTGATCCCCATCCAAGATTTCCCTGAAAGACTCAAGGAAATAAACAAGTTATGTTCATGAAGTCCAAGTTGTACATAAAGATATTCATTCTCTAATACATTTTATCTTGATTAATGAACTCTCTATAATCAGTATTTAGAAAAAAAGTTAAAATCATTAATTAGGAAAATAAACTAGATGAGTACTTAAGAGCAAAAGTAGTATCATTTAAGTCAGCTGATTTTGGAGACCATCTCTAATACAAATATACTAAAGGTATATTATTCATATGATATATAATCATAGGTATGTAATAGTCATATGATATATATAACAATCATACAATATAATATGTATGATAAAAATATATATTGCACCTGCTGAAAGACAAGAAGTATCTCGTATAAAAGTGCCAAGGCTGTATCTGTATATTCCACAATAAGCTTCTGTAACTAGAATTTTAAATAATAAGACAATATAATTGGCAGAGCCAAAAAAAATGGTAATTTCTCCTGGTTACCATTAGGTACTTATAAAAGAATTTTTGATTAACTGGTGAGGTTTCCTGTTCTGTTTGGTTCAGATATGCCCCCCCCGCCACAAAAAAAAAATGGCTCTCATAAAAAGACTACACATTGAATAATGTCTAAGAAAGTGGATCAGGGAAAGAAGATCCAATGGCCCACAGAATGCTAACACACAGAAAACTGCACACTTGATTTGCAAAATCATTCAGATCAATAACCCTACATTCTTTCAAGACTATTGAAATATGTTCCCTAGAGTTAAGGTGGGAGATTCTCTGGGAAATTTAAGCTTATGCCCAGTGTGAACTACAATTCCCTCTGTAAAATGGGTAAATATAGGGCTTAGAGACTTTTTTTTTCTCGCAAGAACTTCAGTTAGTGAGGCTGTTTTCTAGCCTCAAGTAACTCTTCTAGCCCATACACCACTTGGTGCATGAGAGCTATGCCTGTGGACATTGCTACAGGCCAACACATCTTCCCTAACAGTATTCTTTGCAAGAAAGAGCTCTAGTTTGAAATCTCCCAGTCTGTTAGACCTTGGAACCAAAATGTGTATGATCTGCTCATGGCTGCACTAATAGCCCAGCTGCAAAAGATCACCAAGTCCAAAAGCAGCAAACTCAGACCTATCTATTCTGCCCACTACATATTTTTATATGGAAATACCATAGGCAATCAAGTCAACGAATCCAAAACCAAATTCATTGTTTCCCTTTTGAACCTACTCTTCGTGCTGTAATTCTTATCTGACACCCAGGCCAGAATTTAAAGTCATCTAATCTTCACAGTTTTTTTTCACATCAACCTGTTGATGCAATTTCCTAAAAATTTCTGGAATCTGTCCTCTTTACAACTACCATCCCTTTTCTTTTCTTCATTAACTTACTCAACAAATATGCATCAGACACTGTACTAAGTGTTGGGGATACAATGGGGAGCAACAGAGACATGGATCGTGCCCTCATGGAAGATAGTGGGGGACAAACAACAGTCTAACAATCGAATAAATAAATGCCTCATTGCTAACTGAGATACGATCTCTGAAAGAAGAGTACAGAAAGTTAGGAGAGCTCTAAAATAAGGGCCTAAGTCTCGTTTCGGGGGTTGAGGATAGCTTCACTCTGGCCTCTGTCATTCCTCACCTGGACAACTGCACTAGCTTCTTAGCCCTGCCTGAGTCTTGCTTCCATCCCACTCTTTAATCCCTAATCCACTTACTCCGCTGTTCAAAATTGTATCATAGATACTCCACATAGTCTCTAATATTCATATATATGCATAGGGCTATAATATTCATCCAGATGAATATTATATTCATGTTATATTTAATTAACGTCTGTCTCTCTAACCAGACTATAAACCAGTGAGGGCAGAGGTGGTGTCTGTTTTGCTTCTTGTTGGGACCCCAGTGCCTAGCACACTGTTTAGCTCATCATAGAGTTTCAATAAATATTTATTGAGTGACTGAATACATCTAAGAGTTTTCTAAAACATACTCTAATTGTATGTTTAAGAACTGTCAAATCATATCCCATCCTTTAAAAAAAATTGTGTTGTTCTGCTCAAAATAAACTAATAATAAGCTGATTTATTCTCTCAGAATATGTGCTTTCTAGGTAGTCTGGTATTTCTAATGTTTTAGTAAAACCTTAGAAAAACAAGTAATTCTTACTCAGTTTACACTACTTAGATAAGGAGATGGTAAACTAAGGCAAGAGAGTTAGCCCTAAAATCTTTTAAAGACTGCTCTTTTGGGCACCTGGGTGGCTCAGTCGTTAAGCGTCTGCCTTCTGCTCAGGTGATGATCCCAGGGTCCTGTAATTGAGCCCTGCATCGGGCTCCCTGCTTCTCCCTCTCCTCCTCCCTCCCTCCTGCTTGTGCTCTCTCTCTCTCTCTCTCTCTCTCTTGCTCTCTCTCTCAAGTAAGTAAAATCTTAAAAAAAAAAAAAGTGCTTTTTTACTATTTAGGCCCCTACTGTGGAATTAGATATACATAAATATTTTGTATAGAGACAAACAGATTTATCGAATACATACTGAATACTATTTTCCTTAGTATATGTACTTTTCTTAGTATACATACTTTTTTCTTTTTTTTTTAAGATTTTATTTATTTGGGGGCGCCTGGGTGGCTCAGTTGGTTAAGCGACTGCCTTCGGCTCAGGTCATGATCCTGGAGTCCCCAGGATCGAGTTCCACATCGGGCTCCCTGCTCAGCAGGGAGTCTGCTTCTCCCTCTGACCCTCTTCCCTCTCGTGCTCTCTCTCTCTCAAATAAAAAAAAAGATTTTATTTATTTGAGAGAGAGAGTGAGAGAGAGAGCACAAGCAGGGGGAGTGGGAGAGGGAGAAGTAGGCTCCCCACTGAGCAGGGAGCCCGATGCGGGACTCAATCCCAGGACCCTGAGATCATGACCTGAGCTGAAGGCAGATGCTTAACTGACTGAGCCAGCAAGGCGCCCCAGTATACATACTTTAAAACGTATAAAACAGATACATTAATATTGACAGAATAGCTGTCTTAAGTTTTGAGGTTAATGGCAAAATATTTACTCTGATTAAATTATATTTCTATATTCTACAATGTCATGCTCCACATTAGAAGACAGGAAGCCAGGGCACCCCTACATATTATATTTAGTCTACCCCCAAATTCTCATCTCACCTCAGCATCAAAAGACATCTCAACTAAAGTTGAGTCGGCCACCAACTGGATATCAAACATAGGACAAGATTTTGGAATCTGAGGTTCACTAATTAAATTACCAAAAGATTAAACAATGCTCCCCTGAAAAAATAAATAAAAGGCAATTAATGAATAAAGTTTGAAAAGAAAAACAGTAAAGCCAAGTTTGTAGACACTGACTATAATTAAAAGTATAAAGCATTGCAGACCATTCTTGACTGAACTTTTAGATCCTTGGACATCCAGACAATTGAGTAGTGGTAAAACATTTAAGTGAAAATATATAATTTCTTGGTCTTTTGACTCAAAGCAAGTTTTGTTTTTGTTTTTAAAGAGAGTGTGCACAAGTGCGAGAGCAGGGCTGGGAGGGGCAGAGGAGAGGGAGAGAGAGAATCTTAAGCAGGCTCTACGCCCAGCACGCAGTCTAACCCGGGGCTCAATCTCACGATCCTGAGATCATGACCTGAGCTGCAATCAAGAGTCCATCACTTAACAGACTGAGCCACCAAGCACCCCTCAAAGCGAGTATAGTTCTAGAAGTTCACATAGCCTCGAAAACTTAGTAAGTCTGGACTTAAGGGAAATCTGGGTGATTTCGATTAAAGCAGTATTTTCCAAAGGGCTCTTTCCGCCCTCCCCCACAAAGGGCTTTTTTATGGACTATTAATTCCAGGCAGTATTATAGTCAAAATAGATTCTGTGGTCGAAAGAGGTATAGGAGATACTTGGTTAAACCAGTTCATTGGATATCTTTACTACTGGACTTCTCAGAAGTTTTGATATGCTCATATGCACTGTATATCTCCAGGACAAAGACACTGCTGTATGAAGCATTTCTTAATGCTTATTTAATCACAGGTGTTTTGACTCTAGGACTCTTTAAAATTTTTAAATTGAAATTTGGTTGATATATTAGTTTCAGGTGTATATGATAGTGATTCAACAATTATATGCATTATCAAATGCTTACCACAATAAGTATAGTTACCATCTGTCACCAGATGAAGTTATTACAGTATGACTAACTATATTCCCTATGCCATACTTCTCATCCCCGTGACTTACTTATTTTAAATTTGTACCTCTTAATCCCCTTTACCTATTTTACCCATTCCCCCCATTCTCCTCCCATTTGGCAACCACTTGTTTGTTCTCTGTATTTATGAGTCAGTTTCTCTTTTTGTTGTTATTTGTTTGTTTACTTTGTTTTTTAGATTCCACATATAAATGAAATCATATGGTATTTGTCTTTGTCTGACTTATTTCACTTAGGATAATACCCTCTAGGTCCATCCATGTTGTCACAAATGGCAAGATTTCATTCCTTTTTATAGCAAAATAATATTCTATTGTATATATACACGACATCTTCTTTATCCATTCATCTATCAGTAGACATTTGGGTTGCTTCCATATCTTGGCTATTGTAATAATGCTGCAGTAAACATAGGGTTGCATACATCTTTTTGGATTAGTGTTTTCATTTTCTTTGGATGACTACCCAGAAATAGAATTACTGGATCATATGGTACTTATATTTTTAGTTTTTTGAGGTCCTCCATACTGTTTTCCAGAGTGGCTGCACCAACTTATATTCCCAACAACAGTGCAGAAAAAAAAAAAAATGAGGATGGCGCTCTTCTTTTAAATAAAGCATTTCAGAGGCTTACTGTTTCACTGAAGACTACTAGCTGTTAGTCAATAAAACTAGTATTACTTTTAGTCTTTTCCTTTCAAAAGAAGTGTACTATCCATTAACCTATACTAATAACTCACTTAAATTGTTACTATATGTTTGAATAATGTACCCTATTATTTGAAAATGAAAAAAAAAATCACAATCCAAACTTAGGATCCTAAGGAGATGAGGTTTGGCAGTACCACCTTCATATATGTTATACAGTTCATGTATAGTTGAAAAGGAGCCAAAAGCAGATCACTAGGAAAATCAGTTGCCTAACTGAAGACAGTATCAGAGTAGCTTTGACGATGGGAGTAGTAAAAATTTACAGATAGGACTACATAAAAATCCCCTATAACCATAAGCATTCTTTTCATAATGGAATAAAGGAGACTATAAGCAATCCCTGTTTAGTAATATTTAAGGTTTCCTAATCTTTTTACAATCACTTAAATCATTACCATGATTAGAAGTTCATGATTAACCAAAATTTTAATAAAAATAGAATTCCCCTCCTTTCTCCACCTCAAAAAGCAAGTCAGTTCTTATATCTGCAAAATAAGAATCATGTCAGTACACTTCTCAAAAAAGCAGGATATGTCCTACAGGATATTTGTTAATGTTTTACTCAAGCTACTTTAAAATGGCCAGTCTTACTTTTAGAAGACCCTTCCAAAAGTCAACAGAACATTTCATTTAGAAGCTTTTCCTGATATTAAGTTTGAAATGACATTCCATTTACTGATCTATTTTAAAGTCCTTTATTTTCAGCAACAGCTTCTTTTCCAAGTATCTTATATCCAGGGTTAAGGGAAGGAACTCTCAATTCTGGGTCACTTTCTGTGATAATATATGAATTCAACCATAACAGTATTAAAATATGAATGGATTTATGGCACATTTCAAGAAGAATTCAATGAACTGAGTTGAGCTAATAAAATCTTTACTTATGAAAAAAATAAAGAGGAAAATGCTGAAATGATTAAGTGCTTTTTTATTTGCTCAAATGGAATTTAATTTGAAGTCTACTCCTCCTGCTGACACTATTTAAAATCCACTAGGTCACTAATCGAAGAAATTTTAATCTAAATGGTAGTTTCATCCCCAAAATAAAGACTTTATTATAGAATTGACATCACAGCCTTAAAAAATGGTGCCAACAATTTTGATACTTTCATTGTTTAGATTTTTATTATTTCCAATGTGAGAATTTTGAATGCATTGCAATATATTTTATAATATATATACAGACTTTGAAAGGTAAACTCATGGTCTTTATAAGTCGGTCTGTGTTATTGTGTTAGGCAGAATTCTAATACGGCTTCCAAGATTTTTGCCCCCTGGTATATGCACCCTAAGTAATCCCTTCCCCTTAAGTATGGATAGGACCTGTGAATATATTAGGCTGTTACTCTTGTGATTATGTTATGTTAGATGAGAAAGGTAAAGGGATTTTGCATACATAATTAAGGTTCCTAATTTGTTGACTTTTGAGTTAATCAAAGGGAGATTATTCTCAGTGAGCCTGATTATCCATTTGAGCCCTTCAAAGAGTGCTTAGAGCTTCTCTGAGCTCAGAGATAGTCTCCTGCCAAAAAGCAAGCCATCATGAGTTTATAGCTATAAAGAAATTAATACTAGCCACAAAAACCCAAATGAGCTTGGAAGATGACCCTAAGCCTCCGATGAGACTGCAGCCCCAGCCAACACCTTGACTGCCATCTTGTGAAAACCAGAGCAAGATGATCCAACTGAGCTATGCCCAGATTTCCTGATCCACAGAAACTGTGGGATAAACAATTTATATTGTTTTAAGCCACTGAGTTTACAGTGATTTGTTACAGGGTAATAGAAGACTAATGCAGTTATATTAGACATTAGCTGCACTAAAGGCTACAGGTAACATGACTTGACCCTATGCATGTCAAAATTGGCTGAAAAGTTAGTATTACAACCAGATTCTATTATAGCAATATAATATATACATTGAAATACATGAAAAGAATTAGTCATATCAGGGGGCGCCTGGGTGGCTCAGTCGTTAAGTGTCTGCCTTCGGCTCAGGTCATGGTCCCAGGGTCCTGGGATCGAGCCCCGCATCGGGCTCCCTGCTCCGCGGGAAGCCTGCTTCTCCCTCTCCCACTCCCCTTGCTTGTGTTCCCTCTCTCACTGTGTCTCTCTCTGTCAAATAAATAAATAAAATCTTAAAAAAAAAAAAAGAATTAGTCATATCAGGAAAGAGGCTTGCTATAGTAGGGCTGATGTGGCCAAACCAAGTTAAGACAGAACAATTAAAAACAGAGCAGAGGTTAGTAAGAGTGATGGTTTTTCAACTCAGACTGAGAGAGGTAGGGATCAAAAGGTGGACAAAAAGAGTAACATGATTCAGCAATAATTCAGTGTGGCAAGATAAAAATATAAGAAGTAATCTTGAATCTCTATCCTGGAGATTGGGGAAATGGTACTATCAACTGCATAAAGAAGTATACAGAGGGGGCTCCTGGCTGGCTCAGTCAGTGGAGCATGCAACTCTTGATCTCAGGGTTATAAGTTCAAGCCCCACAGTGGGTATAAGGATTACTTTTAAAAAATAAAATCTTAAAAAAAAAAAGTATTCAGAGAAAATAATAGAGTAATAGAGTGTGTCTTCCTTGTTTTCTGTAAAGCAGGGGTCAACAAACTATGGCCTGCAGGCCAAATAGCCCAGAACCTGTTTTTATAAATAAAGCTTTATTGGAACAGAGCTGTGCTCATTCATTTATATATCGTCTTTTACTGTTTTTATGATACAGTGGCAAAGTTGAGTCACTGCAGCAGAGACTCTATGGCCTGAAAAGCCAAAAATGTTTACTCTATGGCCCTTTATAGAAATGTTTGGCCATCCTGGTATACAGCATAGTACGCCCATAGTCCCTGGGACAGAGCAGTTTGCTTAAGAAATGTTCATGAATATTATCACCAAAATTCATTTGTAAAGTTCTCTAATAAATAGCCAGGACAAACATTACTAAAAGTTTTTATTCTTCTCCCTGGTTCACATGTTTTAGAGCCCATGGCCCTCATTTTCCTTCTACTTTCTAATACAGAAAATTTAAATTAACAGTTGATGAGGGTGGGAAAAAATTAAGATTATAGAATGCTGGCTCAGGATGTAATTCATAGTCTATAAATCATATAAAAAGATCAAGCAGCTAATATACAAAATATGCAAACACATATTTTCTGTAGCAAAGAATGCTATTGTCCCCCTACTGTACATTCTTTTTTTCTTCCTTTTAATAATAGGTGTCCATATCACCATCTAGAGTTTAGCTAGGTACAGAGCCATGCAACTACAGACACATCCACCTTCTCTTGCAGCTAGATATGGGCATATGCCTGAAGTCCCCATCAATAGAATGTGAGCAGAAAAGTCTTATATGCCTCTCTTACAAAGGAAATTTGCTTGCCTTCTACTTCTCTTCCTGCACCCCATAGGGTTTAATGAAGTCACGAAGGTCGGTCAGGGATAGCATAATAAACCATGGGGACAGAGATAGCATAATAAAAGATGTCAGAGTAATTAAAGGGAAGGAACCTAGGTCTCTGGCTGATCTTCTAGAGGAAAGCCTGACTATCTACTCTGGACTAGTATGTGAAAAAGATACAAATTTCTATCTTCTGTGGGCCACATATTTTAGCGTATCTTTATTATAGCAGCTTACTCTATATGTTAATAACCCCCCCACTGTCATTCACTTCAAGGTCACACAATTATATATTAAATGAAGCTACTATTAACTCCTCCCTTTGCAATATAATCTTTCTGTTATGTGGGTATAAGGGTACTCTGTAAAATTCTAGTAGAGAACCCCTGGCTTTTATTTTTTTATTTTTATTTTTTTAAAGATTTTATTTATTCATTCGAGACACAGAGAGAGAGAGAGCATGAGCAGGGGGAGAGGCAGAGGGAGAGGGAGGAGCAGGCTCCCTGCTGAGCCAGGAGCCAGAGTGGGGCTTGGTTCCAGGACCCTGGGATCATGACCTGAGCCGAAGGCAGATGCTTAACCATCTGAGCCACCCAGGCGCCCCAGAGAACCCCTGGCTTTTAAAGTATGATGGGGCATTTGGGCTTTTTCAAGTTCACGAGACAATGACAAAAGATAAAATTATGCTAAGAAAATGTTTGTGCCCTTAATAATCCAGAGAGACAGAGAGAACTCACTATGTGCCAATTAATCTGTTTATCACAGAAGGAAGTGGAGAGACAAGAATTTTAATATACTTATAAGGGGATTGAACAGAGAAGTAAGAGAGCTATGAGTTTTGGAAGACACTCAATGGAGTAGTTAATGGGTTGTAACTACAAGGTGCCAGTGTCTTCTAAAAGACCTTACTTCTTAGCTGCCAGTGTGTTCAGGCACGATGACTCAGTTTCTGTTTCTCTGAACATCAGTCCCAGAGTCTGTATAATTTCAATGCATGCTCAAGAAAACAAAGAAAAAAGCACAGAAGTGGCATGATTGCATTACAAGTTCAGAATTTCATAAAATTAGTAATCCTTGATAGAATTGCTCTCATATCTATACAGAAAAACGTACCGAAAGGAAATTCTGTATGTTAATTGTCTGAGTCCCTACTCTGTGATTGCTGCATACTAAACACTCAACAATATTTGTTGAATGAATTAATTAATAGCTGAATGTCAGGATTAAAAGTCATTTTCATAGTGTTTTTTGTCCTTAACATTTTTTTCTGATAATCACACACTGTTTTAAAATTATTTTTAGGGGCGCCTGTGTGGCTCAGTTGGTTAAGCGTCTGCCTTCAGCTCGGGTCATGATCCTAGGGTGCTGGAATCGAGCCCCGCGTGGGGCTCCCTGCTCAGTGGGGAGTTTGCTTCTCCCTCTCCCTCTGCCACTCCACCTGCTTGTGTGTGCACGCACTCTCTTGCTGTAAAAATAAATAAAATAGAATTATTTTCAATAATTTTAACTTTTTCAAGTAGGTAATATTTGGCTCAAAATTTCAAAGGTAAAAAAAGGAATACAGTGAAAGGTGTCTTTCCCTCAGACGCCCATTTTTTTTTTCCTTTGGGACAACCAATATTACTAGTTTCTTATATAGCCTTTCTTTATTTTTTTAAAAGATTTTACTTAAGGGAGAGAGAGAGCACACGATTGGAGGGGGAGGGGTGACGGGCAGAGGGAGAGGGAGAAGCAGACTCCCCACTGAGCAGGGAGCCCAAAGCCAGGCTGGATTCCAGGGCCCCGAGATCATGACCTGAGCCAAAGGCAGACACTTAACCGACTGAACCACCCAGGTGCCCCTATAGCCCTTCTTTAAAAAGTAGAACAGGGGCACCTGGGTGGCTCAGTCGATTAAACCTACGACTCCAGGGGCAGGTCATGATCTCGGGGTTGTGAAATCTAGCCTTGTGTCAGACTCTGAGCTGGGTGTGGAACTTGCTTAAGATTTTCTCTCTCCCGGGGCCCCTGGGTGGCTCAGTCATTAAGCGTCTGCCTTCGGCTCAGGTCATGATCCCATGGTCCTGGGATCGAGCCCCACATTGGGCTCCCTGCTCCGTGGGAAGGCTGCTTCTCCCTCTCCCACTCCCCCTGCTTGTGTTCCCTCTCTCGCTGTGTCTCTCTCTGTCAAATAAATAAATAAAATCTTCAAAAAATAAAAAATAAAAAAAATAAAAGATTTTCTCTCTTCCTCTGCTCCTCCCCCACAAAAAAGTAGAACAAAATGAATGCTATTTTTAAAAATCTATGTGAAACAAAACTTGCAGCACGATTAATCGTTAATACAGTATATATTTTGTCCAGTGCCTTCCATTGTCTTTAATACCCTAAGGGAGGAAAAATCTATGACTATCCAGTTAGTACTTACACCAGCTCATCAGCCCTTTGGCTTTTATTTTGAAGTATGCTCTTATCCCTAGACTCTGGCAAGTACTCATGAAGTTTGTTCACCAGGAAATAAAAAAGGTCACTGGTCTGTGAAAGCAAGCAGGAAAGATGGTCATTAGGTATCAGTTGGTAAAACTCTATCTTTACATAATAAAAATATGAAGAAATCATTTATTCTCTGGGGATGAAATGAATTATAATATCTCTTATTAATAATAGCACAACCCAAATTGAAAACACTTTTTACTTACAACCAGGAGACCACTGTCCTGGTGAACAGAGCCAGAGCTAAAGCCTAGGGGGTGAAGCTGAGGATGTCCAGTAGGCCCGGCTCTACCATTAATATTGAAGACCTTCCAGAAGTAGGTGTATAATCTCAGGCAAATCATTCAGTAACCTGGGAATACTATATTAAATGGAGGCTACTATAATTCCTGCCTTTCCAAAGTAATTTGGCCTTTGTCAGGATACAATGAATAATGGCTAGAAAAATACTTTTTAAAAATGTTTGCTAACCTACAAGAAAGGCCCAGCACTGGTATAGCCTAATGAAAACAGTGAAGAATGATACTAATAATTCTGTTAATACAGTGGAAATGTCGATCCCCATCTCCAAGAGAATATAAACACTGACTTAAGAGTGTGCGGACCAGTTTTTTTTGTGCTTCTGTGCAGTCTCATGAGGTAAATCGAGCATGAAATAAGCACTGGCCCATGAAATCAGGCAAGTTGGTACTAATGAGAAATATCATGTAATTGCTTCTCTTTTCTTTTCCTCCCTTATTCATTCCCCGCCCCCCCGCCCTGAGGACTTTTTTTACTAGTGACAAATTAGACTCTTTGTTTAGACAGGTATTATGTGTACCTTTATTTAGGTGGTAGGGCATGAGAAGAGACTGAGCCTGGCAGGTGGAGAGAGGGACAGGAGAAGGAGCAGGCTGTATGCCAGGCCCTCTGAGAAGAGCTGCTGTTTACCAGGGCCCTGGGGAATGAGCACGGTGTGGCGGCTTTATACACTAACTCTGAGTTCACATCCCAGCTCTGCCACTGGTTAGCTGTATGACATCTGGCAAGTCACTTACACACTCTGTGATTCAGTTCATGTCTAAAATGGAGTTAATGTCACCTGATGGGGTTGCAATAAGATAGTATCTGTAAAGCCTGAAGGGTGCTCAGCACATCATAAGTGCTGAATAAATTTACCAGTTATTATTGTGATCTCCAACCTGCTCACTAGTTCAGGAACTTTTATTCTTAAAGTATCTTCCACCACCTTGCAACAACATGGAGAAATCTCAAAACTATTACGCCAAAGGAAGCCAGCACAAAAGAGTACATAGTACATTTCCGGGTAAGTGGAATCCTAGGACAGGTAAAACTAATCTATAGTGACAGAAAGCACAGTGACTGCCCAGGGCCACAGATGGGAGGAAACTGTCTGCCAAAGGATATGAGCCTTTTGGGGTGATAGAAGTGTTCTAAATCTTGATTGGGGTGGTAGTTATATGGGTATATACATTTGTCAAAACTCTTTAAACCAAAACCCTTAAAATATGCCAATAATTTCTCCAAAGAAGATAGACATATGGCCAAAAAGCACATGAAAAAATACTCAACATCACTAATCATTATGGAAATGCAAATCAAAACTACAAAAAATCAGAAAATAACAACTGTTGACAAAGATGTGAGAAAACGAGAACCCACATGCATTGTTGGTGGGAATGTACGATGGTGCAGCTGCTGTGGAAAACAGTATGATGGTTCCTCAAGAATAAGAAATAGAATTACCATAGGATTCAGCAATCCCACTTCTGGGTACACTCCCAAAAGAATTGAAAGCAAGGTCTCAGAGATATTTACACACCCATATTCACAGTGGTGATGTTCACAATAGCTTAAATGCGGAAGCAACCCAAGTAGCCATCAGTGGAGAATGGATAAGCAAATGTGGTCTTTACATACAATGGAATATTAGTCAGCCTTAAAAAGGAAGCAAATTTTGACATATGCAACAACATTGATGAACCTCGAAGACATGCTAGGTGAAATAAGCCAGTGAGAAAAAGACAAATACTGAGTGATTCCACTTACATGAGATATTTAGAGAAATTAAACTCATAGGAGGAGAAAGAATGGTGTTGCCAGGGGCTGGAGGAAGGGGTGAATGGGGAGTTAATGTTTAATGAGTATAGTTTCAGTTTTGCAAGATGAAAAGAGTTCTGGAGATGGTTGCACAATACAATGTACCTACTTAATACCACTGGACCATACACTTAAAAATAGCTAAAATTGTAAATTTTATGTTATGTGTATTTTACCACAATAAAAACAATTGTTGAATTAAAAAAGAACCTCATGGAGAAAACATAAAGGGTTAGGAAGGAACATGAATGGAGAACTCTTTCCTTCACTCATTCATTCATTGAACACACAACTACTGATTGCCAGCTATGTAGCAGGTACTATGCTAGGTAATTAGATAATACCTTGAACAAAGCAGACAAACAGACATGGTATCTGTCCTAAAGCCTATAGTTTAGTCAACCTACCAAAAAAGGTTCTCATAATTTGTAAGAAAATTGTAAAAAAAAAAGAGAGATTACCTAAAAGAAAATTATACCCCATACAGATGATTTCAAAAGGGGAAATTGTGTGTGTGTGCATTTATAATTTATAATACCTAATATATTTATATACAATTATATATATTTGTAAGCTTTTATTTATATGAAATTATTATATGTATAGTTTTCCATCATCTTCCCCAAGAACCAAAAATTAGAGATGCCTGTAATCTTGCCACCCCAGTGAAGGGTTCCTAAGGAAGCTTCACACAGCCTCATGTTCTCCAGGGAGCCCAGCACAAAGTTGGAAAGCCACTGCTTAAGCATAAAGCCATGATAACTGTTTAAAGAAAAAAGCTCCTAGGGGGTCCCTGGGTGGCTCAGTCAGTTAAGTGTCTGACTTTTGATCTCAGCTTAGGTCTTGATTCAGGGTTGTGAGTTCAAGCCCCACGTTGGGCTCCACGCTGGGTGTGGAGCCCACTTAATAAAAAGATAAAGAAAAGAAAAAAGCTCTTAAAAGAAGATAAAAATGTTGACTTTTGTTATTATATATGTTAACTGTATAAATGAATATGAGACTAGATTGTGGTTATGGATTAAAGAAAGAGAACATAAGGCTAGCAGGCCTTGGTGGCATGGTGGTGGGCAGAGGACCCACACCGTGTGTGTGGAAAGACCGCAAATAGGAGACTGCCCATATGCCTTTTATTTCCCTCTCTATTCATTTTGGTCTCTCTTTTTTTTTTACTCCTTGAGATCAAGAGTCACATGCTCTACGAACTAAGCCAGCCAGGCGCCCCTTGGCCTCTCATTTTTGACAGCTGAATTAGAAGATCTATTTTAATCCATCTAAGGACATTACGTTAAAGGACAGCTGCAATGTTTTCAATTAAGCAACAGAACATGAATGTTCTATTCCTAGACTTCTTTTTTTTTTTAACTTTTTTACTTGGATAAATTTACTATAAAAGACATCTTTCTTTAAATACTTTTTAATTCAATTAATTAACATATAATGTATTATTGGTTTCAGAGGTAGAGGTCGGTGATTCATCAGTCTTCTATAAAACCCAGTGCTCATTACATCACGTGCCCTCCTTAATGTCCATCACCCAGTGACCCCATCCCCCCGGCCCCTCCCCTCCAGCAACCCTCAGTTTGTTTCCTATTCCTAGATTTCTGATCAGGTTAATTTTTCACAAGAGAATAAACTTTCAGGGCGCCTGGGTGGCTCAGTTGGTTAAGCAACTGCCTTCGGCTCAGGTCATGATCCTGGAGTCCCGGGATCGAGTCCCACATCAGGCTTCCTGCTCAGCAGGGAGTCTGCTTCTCCCTCTGACCCTCTTCCCTCTCGTGCTCTCTATCTCTCATTCTCTCTCTCAAATAAATAAATAAAATCTTTAAAAAAAAAAAGAGAATAAACTTTCAGTTCAATATGAATTGATTATGGGGCCTGGTATAAACATGGCATTGCGTTAGGCCTTAGGGAGAATACAAAGATGAGTAAGACACATGCTTGTCCTGAAGAAGCTTATAGCATATAATGGTAAATAAGAATAATATGCCAATGACTATAGTGAAAAGGAGAATATCTGTGCTAATCTTGAGGGTAGGAACTGTATCTTACTCATGCTCGCTTTTCTAATGCCTGTTCCCATGCCTGGCACAGAACAGGCCTGCAGTAAATATTTGTTGAATTGTTAGAGAGAAGGTGCTATGAGAGATGCCATAGAACTGCATTGTCCAATAGGTAGCCACTGGCCACATGGTGCTATTTAAATTTAAATTGATTAAACGGAATAAAATTAAAATTTCACTTCCTTAGTCACTGGCCACATTCAGTGTGGCTAGTGGCTACTTTTTTGAACAGCACAGATTAAAGAACACTGAAGAAAGTTCTGCCATAACAGATGAGAAAGAGGAAGTTTCCAAAGTTCCCCATGGAGGATGACAGGAAAGGTGGAAGAACAGCGTTTGAGCTGAGCCTTGAAGAATGAGTGGGTAGGATTTTAACAGGAGGAAATGGAAGAAGGAGTAGCGTAGAGATGGTGAACAGTAGGGGGAAATGAGGAAGGGCTGGAAAGGACAGGGTGTTTGGGTCATCCCACATGGCTGGAGCTTTTAGAGGAGAAAGGTGAAAACAATGAAGTGTGGGGCTGAGTTGGTTAGGCCTAGCTTCGTTCTCTTTCTCTACATCTTTCTTTTGCTCCACAGCCAAAGCCACCTGCATCAGGCCCATTTTAAGATGAGAGACACTTAAATGGCCTGCAGACCAACACTCTGGTATTCAACATCAACACCTTTCTTCCTAGTCTAACCTGTAGGAGGTGCCTCAGTTCTCCTACCTAGCCATCTGCTTTAAATCCAGTCTCGTGATAGTGTCCAGTTTATCTAAGTGGACTTCTCTGGGCCCTGTGCCATGTCCCTTGCCAGTCCTCTCTCAGCTGCTAGGTTTACTCTTGACAACCTTTATATCCTTGTCACCTCCCCAACCCAACATTCCATTAGGCCCTGTTGCCAAACTCTAAACAATCAGATCTTCCTGGCGCCAAATGTTTGTGCAGACATTTGGGTGTAATCCACCCACATGCTGGAATGCCCTGATGTTTCGTTTTGCACACTATGTAGAGATCACTCTCACCCTTGAGCACTGGGCCTTACCTGGGAGCATCTACAGCTGGGTTAGTTCGCCCAGTGCCTGCCCTATGTAGGTAGATGTTGGCCCCTTCCTGAAAACCCACCTTGCTAAAATAAAGGCCATGCCTGTCCAAACTTGCAGTCTGTGACAGTGGTCATTAGTGGAGAGCCTTAAATGCCAAAGCCAAAGTGTTTGTACTTAGTAGGGAGGGCCACCAGAGGTTTTCGAGCCAGCAGGGTCAACACAGTGATAGATTAAACTGATGCCATGTGTGGGATGGACTGGAGAGGAATATTTGGGTGGGATATACCAATTTCCTTAGCCTTTCTACATGAACTCCATTTCCATGTTCATAATCATCTTGGGTGTCATTTTGATGCCTGGCCCTATATTTTCCACAATCCTCTGAAGTTTTGGAGTCAAAACCTGCATGTTCTATTCCTAACAGGGTGTAGCCAGTATAAGCGTTTAGACTGTAGCACAACATCATTGTTACTGTTTCAGTGTTATGGGACATTTGACATACTATTCTATATAGCTAATATGCCCTCTAATTAGGGTGATCAACCATCCCAGTGTGCTTGGGATGGTCCTAGGATATCCTGCGAACTTCCTTAGTCCTAGGCAAACTGGGACCGTTGGTCACCCAAGTCTGGGCAAACCCACATGGTTGGTCATCCGACATGTGAAGCACTTAGAATCTAAGAAATGGCCAGGATTGTCTTGCATGTTTGGGAAAGCTGTGCACTTTACAGCTGCTCAATAAAAGGTTGCCAACTATGAGACCACTAGCCAGAATTAGGATACAACATATAGCGGTCAACATGAGCTCCACCCAAGGCAGGGCTCACCCCCTCACTTGGGCCTCATTAGCACCACACCAGTACTCACTGGGGCTTCTGAATCCCTTCACCTGAACCTGAAAATGAAACTAAGTAAGTCTTGTAGAGTAAGTCTGTAACTTGCTGAGTGAGCGCTAGGTTGCTTTGACTCCCTAAGATTCACCTTTTTTTAAAAAATAATAGTCTTACACTCAAAAGTAATCTTTTTTCATTATATTTTTATTGTATACTTATTGTAAGTTTTAAGGTAAAACTTTCTTGAAATCTGTTTTTCCATCTCACTGTCTTTACTCATACATCTTGCATGCCAGAAGCTTCCCCTCTATCTTTGACTCACCAACCCAACCCATGTAAGGTACTGTCTTTTTGCTACCATTGTCCTCTTTCCTCATCTCCCCTGCAACACACGTACACATTATTGATTACATTACATTTCAAGTACTGAGTCATGATTGCATTAAATTTAGTCCACATTTTAAAATACAGCCTCCATCAGGGCACCTGGGTGGCTCAGTCAGTTCACAGTCTAACTCTTGATTTCGACTTGGGGCTCTACGCTCAGTGGGGAGTCTGCTGGAGGATTGTCTCTCTCTCTCTCCCCCTCTGCGCTCCTCCCTTCCCCCCACATGCTCTTTCTCTCTCTACTTCTAAAATAAAATAAAATACAGCTCTGAATACAAGACATTTATTTGTATTTTACTTTATGCTTGATTATACTGCACTTGATAAACAGGTGGAACAAGTTTCAAAGATTAAAAATAAAACAAAACACCGACTTTCCAGAAAAGCTGTTTCAGAATGAAGTTTTTCTGGGCTGCTACTTTAAGTTCCGTAATTAAGCAAAATATCTTCCTCAAAGTATTGTCTTTAAGAAAAAGTTCAGATTTAAGTTGACTGAAGTGCTTAATTTTCTCCTCAGATCAACAGAAACACAAGAAAAAAATTTCCATGTGAAAAAGGATAAACAGCGGTTGAGGAATATCGATTATTGACAGGTTTGTAAAATTTTGTTACTAATGGAATTTTAATAGAGTTTTGTGCTTCTAGCTTTATTACTCATTAGTAATGAACCTTGCTTTCCCCAGACTGAACTGTTTATTACTCGGCAGACATACTTTTCCCCGTGACCCATTACTCAAGCGGTATCCAGCACCTCAGGGATATTCTCAGTGTCCCTTGGAAACTCTGGTCCCTCTTTCACTCCCTAGCCCACGGTTTGTTCACATACCATTTACCATACTGAATGAACCATACGTAATATTATTTGCTTCATATTTTTTCTTTAAATCAACTCACTTTGTGTGTGTGTGTGTGTGTGTGTGTGTAGAGAAGTTTATTTATGTAAGATTTTATTTATCTGAGAGAGGGAACAAGCACGTGCACGCACACATGGGAGCAGAGGGAGGGGCAGAGAGAGGGAGAGAATCTCAAGTGGACTCTGCACTGAGCACAGAGCCTGACCAGGGGCTTGGTCTCATGACCCTGAGATCATGACCAGAGCTGAAACCAAGAGTCGGATGCCTAACCGACTGAGCCGCCCAGGCGCCCCGAGAAGTTTATTTATAAAGAAAACTTTGTATCACTACTTTACAGGGAGAACCAGTATCATGTGCCATAAATAGCAGGTAACTATAAAAATAGCATGAAAGCATCACAAGTTCTAAGTTGATGCCCCACATTCCAAGCCTAAGGCCTCTCTCTCTGACAGAAAGGCAGATGAGCACGTGTTAGAGAGCTACCATTTTTGGCACCAAGCTGAGAGGTTCTCCCTAATGAGATTGGACTAGTTGGAAAAGGAATCACTTTTCCACTATGGAATTCAAAGTTATTTCCTGCCATGTCAGAGTACCAAATACATTCATCTCATGTCACTGACCCGTGTGTGTTCCACAGTTCAGGAAGAGCTGGCTTTGCTGAAAAGAGGAACACCTTCCCCTTAAAGCTTTCCTTAATTCCACCATGAATGGGGAACCTCTCCCATGGCACTTTTTCCACACTTCTTATATATCACACTAATCCTATTTTGCCCTGTTGTCATGATTTATGTACCTGTCCTGAGCACTTTTCATGAACTAGCTCATTCAGTCCCACTAAGGGGGCAGAACTGGGAATTACTGTTGCATTTATAGGATGATAGAGAGGTTAAGTGACCTGTCCAAGTTCATACTGGCTGGCTCAGTCAGTAGAGTGTATGACTGTTGATCTCAGGGTCATGAGTTCAAGCCCCACGTTGGGAGCTTACTGGAGCTTACTTTAAAAAAAAAAAAAAGGAAAAAGAAAGAAAAGGGTGCAAAGTAATGGTAGGAGAGGCATTTATTGTTCTGTGTAGGTTGATGGAAACTTCCCAGAATTTCTGACTTGAATTAAAAATATTTTTACCAAAAAAAAAAGGGGGGGGCGGCGCGTGGGTGGCTCAGTCGTTGAGCGTCTGCCTTCGGCTCAGGTCATGATCCCAGGGTCCTGGGATCGAGCCCTACATCGGGCTCCCTGCTCAGCGGGAAGTCTGCTCCTCCCTCTCCCACTCCCCCTGCTTGTGTTCCCTATCTTGCTGTCTCTCTTTCTGTCAAAAAAATATATATATATATATTTTTACCACCTACTCCATAAATCTTGATACCAACCATTTATCCCAATACTACTACATGGAATCTTGGCTCTTGCCCACTACCTCCTCCGTTTTTAAAAAAAAATCTAAGATCTTCTCTATCCAGTCAATGAGGCTCTTTTTTTTTTTTTAAGATTTTATTTATTTATTTGTCAGAGAAAGAGAGAGCACAAGCAGGGGGAGTGGCAGGCAGAGAGAGAAGCAGGCTCCCCGCTGAGCAAGGAGCCTGACATGGGACTTGATCCCAGGACCGTGGGGTCATGACCTGAGCCAAAGGCAAACGCTTAACCGACTGAGCAACCCAGGCATCCCAATGAGCCGCCCTTATTAACGAAAACATTAAGACTTCCCCAAAAAACAGTCTCTTTTCTAGTGGAGACCCTGAAAGAGAAATGATCATCAAGAATTCAGTGATAGGGATGCCTGGGTGGCTCAGTTAGTCCTGGGATCGGCCCCCACGTCGGGCTCCCTGCTCAAGCGGGAGCCTGCTTCTCCCTCTCTCTGCTCCTCCCCCAACTCGTGTGTTTTCTCTTTCTCACTCTCTTTCTCAAATAAATAAACAAAATCTTTAAAAAAAAAAAACGTCACAGAGGCAGAAGAACACGATTATAAACACGGGGGTCAGACAGGCTGATCAGAGTTCTAGATCTGCCTCTATTCAGCTGAGTAATTACCATGGGCAAGTTACCTAGTCTCTCTGTGCCTCAATTTCCTCATCTATAAAATGGGGAGGATTATAGTACCTATCCCATTGTTTTGATACTTTAGTCTGTGCTTAGCACACAGTAAGTATTTAATAAATGGTATAAAATAGGAATGAGCTTTGAGATCCCACTTCCCTATACATCCACTTCTAATTACAATCACATTTCATTTAAAAAATAACTATAAAATTCCTCTATTCTCTGAGAACTGCAAAAATAGCAGGAATGTAGTTTTCACAAACTGGTGAGCTTAGAAAAGCACAAGCTTAGAAAGAATACCAGCAGAATTACTTTCAAATTGACTTTCCTATTTTTCCCATTAGTCAGCAATTTGCTGCAACCATATAGAAACAGTTTTTATCTTGTGGCACCTATGATAACAGACCGTAATACCAAACTTTTCTTTCAAAAAAACCAAAACAGGGGTGCCTGGTGGCTCAGTCGGTTAAGCATCTGACTTCAGTTGGGTCAAGTCTCGGGGTCCAGGGATGGAGCCTTGTGGTGGGCTCTGTCCTCAGCGGAGAGTCTTGCTTGTCCCTCTGCCTCTCTTCTTGCTCTCTGTCTTTCTCTCAAGTAAATAAATAAAATCTTTTAATAAATAAATAAACAGATAACCAAATTTCGTAAGAAAAAGCTTCTGACTTTCAAGGACAAATTTCAAGTCAAATTTCAAAGTTAAAGCCTATTTTATTATCCAGTTAGTTTTAAAATCACTTTAAATAAGCACTAAAATTAAAACTGATACTTTTGTAAAGTAAACATATGAAAATATATGGAAATTCTATTTTTAAAACATGTAGAAATTCTAAACTATCTGTATTACCATCTCTTAAAAAAGGAAATCACAAACATTGTTATTTACTCCCTACATACCTCAGAACATATCTCAAAATAAAACAAACCTTTTCTTACAAAATAGTCATTATCACATCCAACAAAATTATCAATCATTCTTTGGTATTGGCTAATACCCAGTCCATATTCAAATGTCCTCTATTGTCTTAAAAATGTCTTTTTACTTTTGGTTTGTTAAAATCAAGATATAAATAAGATACTTGTTATATTTGCTTATTATGTTTCTTAAGCCTTTTAAAAACTTTTATTATGGAAATTTTTTTTTAAAGATTTTATTTATTTATTTGACAGAGAAAGACACAGCGAGAGAGGGAACACAAGCAGGGGGAGTGGGGGAGGGAGAAGCAGGCTCCCCGCCGAGCAGGGAGCCCGATGCGGGGCTCGATCCCAGGAGCCCGGGATCGTGACCTGAGCTGAAGGCAGACGCTTAACGACTGAGCCACCCGGGCGCCCCTTATTATGGAAATTTTTAAACATACACAAAAATGGAGAAAACTGAAAAGAAACAGCATATATCTATCACCTAGATCCAATAATCTTTAACATTTTTCCAATCTTGTTTTATCTATTCCCTTACTTTCACACACACATACACACCCCTACCTGTTTTAAAATTGAAATAAAATATACATAATATAAAATTTACCATTGTAACCATTTTTAGGTATACAATTCAGTGGTATTAAGTGCATTCAGAATGTTGTGCAACCATCACTACTATCCATTTCCAGAAATTTTTCATCTTCTGAAACAGAAACTCTATACTGATTAACTGTAGGTCCCCATACCCCTCTCCCCTCAGCCCCTGGTAACGTCTATTTTATTTTCTGTTTCTATGAATTTGCTTATTCTCAATGCCTCAAATAAGTGGAATCATACAATATTTGTCCTTTTATGTCTGGCTTATTTCACTTAGTGTAATTTCTTCAAGGTTCATCCATGTTGTCACACGTGTCAAGACTTCATTCCTTTTCAAGGCTAACATGCCCACACTTTTAAGTCAGATTCAGGTTTCATTGTTTTAACAATTTATTCATTCTATAAAGGCAGCCTACTATGGGCCAGTGACCAAGGTACAGTCCTGGCCCTTTAGGAGCATAGTGGATAATAGGGCAGCACGTAATCAAACAAACAATCGTAAGAGAGACTGTTAAATGCTACAAGATGGTAAGCACACGATGTTATGGAGGGGCCCCTCTGTTTTAAAAAATTTTTTTAAAGATTTTACTTATTTATTAGAGACAGAGAGAGCACAAGCAGGGGGAGCGGCAGGCAGAAGGAGAGGGAGAAGTGGGCTCCCCCCTGAGCAGGGAGCCTGATGTGGGGCTCGATCCCAGGACCCTGAGACCATCCTGAGGCAGATGCTTAACCGACTGAGCCACCCAGGTGCCCCTCAGGGGCCCCTCTTATTGAAGCTTTGAGAAATGATTTTTAGAGAAAGGAATATTAAGCTAAGACTTGATGAGTTGAAGTCATTCATGAAGAAGAAGAGTAGAGAGTAGGGTTCCAGAATAGAGGAATAAGCAAACAAAAAAAACAAACAGGGAGCTTTCTGAAAACTGCAAGATCATTTGGATCAGCAGCTTAGGGTAGGAGTTGAGGGGACACAAGAGTTGAAGATGGAAAAATGAAAAGAGACATCAGGAAGATCTTTATAAGCTGTTGTAGAATTTAGACCTTCTCCTTAAGGACAGTGGGGAGCCATTCAGAGGTTTTAAGGCAGGGAGCTACGTGATCAGATTTGTGCTTCCAAAAGATTTCTTTGGTTACGGAGAGTGGTTTACAGAGGGTCAAGAGTGAAGGGCAGAGGCCAGGTAGGAAAATACTGTAGGAGCTCAGAACAAAGGGAATTGGGCTGAGCATGTGACGCTGGAAAGAAGTAGATATTATCCAGATATATTAGAGAAGAACAATGAATCCTGTGGTGATTGACTGGCTGCGGGGGTGGGAGGTGGTAAAGGGGAGAGAGAAGGTAAAGATGGCATTCGGGACTCTGCCTTAGGTGTTGTGGGGATAAGGATAGCAGGCCCTGTGTTAGGAAGCACGGGAGGAAGGTCAGGTCCCAGAAGGAAGATGCTGAGTTCTGTTTTGAATATGCTGACTTTAAGGTTCTTGTAAGACCTATAAGAGGTGATGTCCAGTGGGTAATTATGTTTGCAAACCTAAAATTCAAGGCAGAGAGTTGAGGTAGAGGTATAGATGTGATGGGCAGCAACACGTGGAGTTAGGAGAGGCAAAGAGGAGAGAACCGCCCCCTGTGGCTCTGGCATATCATCACTCCTTACCTATATGGCTTTTGACTTCCACTCGCAGGACTGAGCTCACTAACATATAGGGGATCTTGTAAAAGAGTAGCTTTCTAAAAGAGGAAAAAAAGTGGGAATAGTTAGAATTTTTGTTTACTGAAAATCCGTTTCTGCTGCTTTTAGTCAATATCATATATCTATTCCTTAATTCCTGCTATAGTACATGATTTGTTTATGTAAATAATACCACAGGGCATTGTTTTTCCTTATATGGTTTTTTTTGTTGTTTTTTTTTTTTAGAGAGAGAGAGAGAGAAACGGCATGAGAGGGGAAAGGGTCAGAGGGAGAAGCAGGCTCCCTGCTGAGCCGGGAGCCCAATGTGGGACTCCATCCCAGGACCCTGGGATCATGACCTGAGCCGAAGGCAGTGGCTTAACCAACTGAGCCACCCAGGCGCCCTCCTTATATGGTTTTTAAAAAGTTTTAAACATGACATTTGCTCATTATAAAGTAAAATTATCTATCAAAATCAAACAGTACAAAAATGCATAAACTAAAAGATAAAAGTTGCCAGTCTCTCCCTCCCCATGCCATCCCACTAGTCAGAGTGCCTTACTATACCCCTGAAACCAATATAATACTGTATGTTAGTTATACTGGAATCAAAAATAACAATAACAACAAAGTACCTTACTATATTATTATCAGTGTGGTTTATATCCTTTTAGGCATATAAAAACATTATTTATAACATACATCTATAATATATACATATTAGATGACATTTTTATAATATATATTTAATACCAACTAAATTACATCACATATATTAATCTGGAACTTTTTTTCCCACTTAATATATGGTGGACAGTTTTCCATGTCTGTGTATAAGTTTACTTCTATCGTTTTAATGATTACATAGTATTCCATAGTATAGATTATACAATAGTTTTGTTAACTATTCCCCTATCAATAGGGTTATTTTTCCCTTAAATCTTTAGTGTTGCCATTTTCCATTCATTCTGGGTCCCCCCCAAAAAATGGGTCACTGTTCAGCAAGTTCTCTAAAGAATCTTATTTTATGCTGTGAGGCCTAACAGGTCAGAAAGAATTTCTGAAATGTTGCTGATTTACAACTCCAAACGAATTTACCCCTGTCTTATTCTTAATATCAGAGCAGGATGATGGGTGGGTGGGCAGGGGGGAAGTATGTGCTTTTTCTCACTACTTTTGTTTTTTACAATCTGTTTGTTTGTTTTTTTAAGTAGGCTCCATGCCCAATGTGGAGCCCAGCCCAGGGCTTGAACTCACAACCCTGAGATCAAGACCCGAGCTGAGATCAAGAGTTGGATGTTTAACCAACTGAGGCACACAGGCACCCCTATTTTTGTTTTTTAAAGTAAGCTCTACACCCAGCGTGGGGCTCAAACTCATGACCCCAAAATCAAGAGTTGCATGCTCTACCAGCTGAACCAGCCAGATGCCCCTTTCTTACTACTTCTGTCATTGTTTTAAGTTAAAAAAAAAAAAAAGACTGTCTTTTTTTTTTTCTTCTCTCTAAATGTTTATATTTACTGGGGTGCCTGGGTGGCACAGTCAATTAAGCATCTGACTCTTGCTCTCAGCTCAGGTCTTTTTTTTTTTTT